TGTCCTGAGACCCCAGCCTGGATATGTGCCCAAGGTTCCCACCACGCCTTTTCACGATCAGGTAGTGAACCTGCAAGCACTGCCCTCGGAGGAGGCAGATCCAGCCTTGTCGTTGCTGTGTCCAGTAAGAGCATGGCGCATATACATTGAACGCACCCGGAGCTTCAGAAGCTCTAAGCAGCTCCTTGTCTGCTACGGAGGTCAGCAGAAAGGGAAGACTCTCTCCAAGCAGAGGTTGGCCCACTGGATAGTGGATGCCATCGCCTTGGCGTACCAACCCCAAGGCGAGCTGTGCTCCCTGGGGGGTGAGGGCTCACTCCACACAGAGTGTTGCCTCCTCCTATACGCTGGCACACGGCACCTCTCTGGCAGACTTCTGTAGAGCTGTGGGCTGGGTGTCACTGAACACCTTCGCGAGATTCTACAGGCTCCATATTGAGCCAGTTTCTTCCAGTGTGTTGGGTAACAGGTAAGTGGTGGGAAGAGCTGGCCGGTGTCACGCTTGCTGCACCATTTCCCCTCACCCGGGGATGCGAGCGCCTTTTTCTTCCTCCAGTAAAGTTCCCAAGACGGCGAACCCTGGTGGAGTTCCTCCAGCACCCCTGGCAGTCAGACTGGGTGGAGTAGTCTGACGCCAGGCCCAGTTCTGGTGTTAGCTTGCCCGGGTCTCCAGCCTGTACTGGGCTAGGTGTCCATATGGCTTGATTCCCTTTGGCAATCCCATATGTGTATTCTTACACTGTAAGGTTTCTCTCTTGGTGAACCTGTGTCTTCCCCTTAACAGACCATTCTGTCAGTCTCTACTGGTGGCCGCTCCTCCCTACTCCTAGGTAGGACCTGCCTCAGAGACCCAATTCCATATGTAGTACTGTACTGTCCCAGGCCTGGGTCAGTCCATATCAGTGTCTCCACATGATACCTCCCTACGGGTAGGATGTGGCCTCCGTAACGCCCTTTTCTGGAAGACTCGCTTCCCCATCGTTACTGCCAAGCTGTAACAACAAATAGGAAAGACTTGAAGCAATCTTTCATCGAAGGTCGAAATCCCTTCTGTTAAGAAATTTCTGTGGTAAAAGGAACAGCGGCTTGGCTATCACCAGCAGCGATATACTCACCTTTGGTCCCTGCGGGTACCAAGGTCAGCGAATTTGCGCTGGAGTGGTGAGAAGGTTACGACCTTTGCATAGCATCTTCTCTGACAATCCATAGGGTTGTGACGGGGTTCAGATTGTGGTACTTTCCATGGACCCCTAATGTCGACATCGACATAACTCGAAGTGACCGACAGATAGGGAATGTCTTGGTTACATACGTAACCCTTGTTCCCTGATGGAGAGAATGGAGACGTTATGTCCCCATGCCCCAACCTCGAACCATCACTGGTTGTCAGGGACAAGTTCTCGGCTCCTCAGCATAAAACCTGATAAGTGGATGCACCTGTCGCCTGTTAATACCCATATGCAAGTGGAGGTATGCAAAATCCACTAGCCAAATTTCATTGGCGTTTTTCTTAATCAGAGAGGATTCAGGCTCCCAAGTAAGACCCCTAATGTTGACATCGACATAACGTCTCCATTCCCTCCATCAGGGAACGAGGGTTACGTACGTAACCGAGACGTTTCTAGTTAATGAGCTTCTATTCTGTGATGTGAATATAATGTCTGAGCTTCATGCATGATGCAGCATCTCACAGACAGAATGATAAATAACTGCTGAAAATGTAAGCAATTATGCTGAGTAGTTTGTGGGCTAATAATACATTTTGCTCCTCATTTCAATGCTCCAAAAGCATGCTAACCAGATTTGAGGCGTGAAGCACCATGTTTCAGCTTATGTCCAGGCATCATTGATTAATGTGTCATCTAATCAATATCTGAAGGCATATCCTGCTTGACTGATGAATTCTTTATAAATGTATTAGTGCTTATCCCACAGAGGTGGTTAAATAAGTGTGATTCATCTCAGGAGCAGTCTGTACTGTTTAAGGATGTGGTCAGGACCATGGGTGTTGGATTTCAACCCTACTGTCACAACAGCAGCCTTATAATGGGACATATAAAGGACAATCAATTTCAATGCAAGTCAAAAGAAACATATGGGAGTCAAGCACATTTTGAGAATAATCCTCATCAATAAATAACATGCGGCATGAAGACCAGGACATGTGGGGTTTGCTGTGATGTGCACCAGTATGAAGTGTTGTTTTGTTGTTGTGTGTTTGGGTTGGTTCAGACTAGGCCCAAGTTTCACATTTAGAGCTCATCCATTTTCCATTCTGTCCTTTTGCAACATGCACCTGTTATGTGCCTGGAGATTAATGAGTGGGGAAATGTTGACAGAGGGCAGGAAGTTTCTTTCTCCTAATGGTTTAAGCTGTAGAACTCATTATAAGCTCATAATGATACTGATATTTGCATACACTGTAAAAATGTTTTGTCATCTGTCTAAATTAACTGTTTTTATTAATTATTTTGTTAATGTGGTTACACCAACATATGTTATTTTTAAGGTTCAGCACAGGTAGAAATACCACCATTATGTAACAAAGGCACATTTTAAGCAAGTATGAATAGATAGATAGATAGATAGATAGATAGATAGATAGATTCTACCTGAGCTGACCCTTAATGTAATATTAATAATATTTATTTATTTTTATATGTACTGTATAATTATAAAGTTTCACAAACTTTAGTAACTTCAGTTTTGAAATTGCACAGGAAGCTGGCAAAAGCTGGAGTCAAATCAGTAATCAGAGGGAATATGAGATTTGCAATGTCTCGGAGGACCCACACCTTTCTATATGCAGGAGAAATGTGATTGAGTCGTCAGCAGTCATCTGTGTGTGTGTGTGTGTGTGTGTGTGTTTGATTGACTGCTGCACATGCTTGACAGCAGTAACAATGTAGAATCATGAGATTTAAAGCGTCTCGGCCATTTCGGGCCCTTGCTTTTTTTAATCTTGCGGCTTGCTATACTGTCATAGGATATTAAACATTGGCTTTGAGTGTGTGCTAGAGCTCCCATTGTATATTCCCTCAACTGTATAAGACAGTTGTCTTACAAAAAATTGTAACCGGGGGCAAAGTTCTAGTCTACATGTCGTCAACCAGTGGAACATTATAATTGAAATGTCATGACAGACAGGGAGAAAAGCATAGCATTTCATTCTCTCTGCACTGTCAGGACTTATAGGATTTACAGGTTAATAATGACAAGGAGAACATCTATAGGTGGTAGAGCAAATCTGATGGACAGAAACTAGTGACAACTGTGCAAAAGAGCCTCTCCAGTTCTAACCGTTGAGTTTACATTTGTTAATCGGTGTCACACATCTGTTAAAATAGTGTTTCTCTACACTCAGCTGATAGATTAATACAGTGTAATGGCATAAGTAGGAGCATGAGCGGTGTGAAGAGCATGTGGTGTGAAGTGTGGGTGGACAGCGTGCTTTACAGTCTTCATAAATATCAGGATCCCTACAAGCTGGAGAATTGAATTCCTATGAAGTCTGCAAATTGTATGTCCAACTTTATAACTGTGTGCATTCAGATCCAGCTCTAATAGCAGCGGCTCGTGTATACCAGAGCATCTGCAGAAGCATCATGGGCATTAAATCTAATGGGGCGAGTTCAGATATCTGAGCCAGCTGGATTAAAAAAATTTTTTTGTGTTGCACCATTATTGTAAGTAATAAAATGGGTGTTTTAAATACTGTTAAAACATAGTCATATTTGGGTCAGTCTCATTTTGGTCAGTCCAATCGAGTTTCCCCCCCCTCCATTCAGTGAAAATCCATACTGGCTGTTAAGTTCCATTGCAAATGTGTTTGGTTTATTAAATACAAATTAAATATCAGGTCAAAATTCATTGTGAATGCTAACAGCAATGTGAAATTAAACGTTTGTTGACTGAGTTTTTGCTACTCTTACTCTGGGTTAAATCAAGTTACTTAACTATGGAAACCTATTTTTGCCACAATAAAAAAAGAAAGAAAGAAAGCTATACAAAAGTGTTATATTTTTGACAAAAAGTCAAAATTATGACAGCTGGAATTATGAGACAAAGCATCATAAATGTGACAAAGTAAAAATTCTGACATAAAAAGTTTAAATTATGGAAGTCAAAACAAATAAAAAGTCATAATTCAGGGAAAAGTCGAAATTATTAAATAAAAAGTCACAATTATGACTTATTATAATTATAATTTTTAGCTCATATTTTCAACAATTTTCCCCCTCATAATTATGACTTAGTATCTCAGTTTAACATGTTTGTCATAATTATAACTTTTTTTGTCACAATTAAGATTTACCAAAGCAGTGGCAGAAATGGGCTTCCAGAAGTGTTTAGCTACTGACCCAGAAAAATTATTTTATGTACAGTATAATTTACAGTGTACAGTAAAAAGTATAATCAGTTTTAATACTTTAAAAAAAGTTTTTAAAATTAGTTTGAAGTAAAAACAGTAATACCTAACTGTTAACTGTACTTAATTGGTCTTTGAGATGACCACAATCGGTGAACTTGACGATGGCGAAACCCAGTTGGTTTGTGTGTCTTATTAATTCATGCATCTTTCTCATGCGTTTTACACTGTGCTGATTTATTCATGACTGGCTGTGTCTCCCGCTTTGTGTTCTTCAGACTGTGCGCACCATCCGCCGGCGCCGCTGTTACCCGCCGACCTGGAAGCGCTGGGTCTTTTTCCTGTTCCCTGGCACCACCATTGCCACATCAGCGGTGGCCTTATACGCCTTCGTGGAGACTGAGGAGAACTACTTCTATATCCACAGCATCTGGCACATGCTCATTGCTGGGAGCGTCGGCTTCCTTCTGCCGCCTCGAGCCAAACCTGACGTGAAAGTCACTCCCCTGAAGCGGCGGCGAGGCTGCGGCTACCAGCTCTGTGTGAACGAGCACGAGGAGATGGGACTGGTGGACCCAGCGATCATTACCATCAACAGCATATGCACCAGCTGATGATGTTTAGCAACATGGACTTTTATTTGCCTTTCTTCTCCTTCCTTTGGATTATAAAAACACGGAAAACAAAGCCAGAGAACTTACTGATGCACTGTAAATAACTTTTGACCGAAACACACACAGACATACACACGCTCTTGCATATACGTACAAGTTTTTGTCATTGTTATTTAGATTACTATTATCGTTAATAATATCATTTGCATTGTTAATATCTGGGAATGGATTGTGTCAGTACAGCGATGCACTGTTATTAGTGCATTATTTAAACCGTCTGAGCTGATTTTTCTGCTGCTATTGACAGTGACTGTAAAATTTAAAAATGTGTCATGTAATTTATTCATTGTTTTCTGGCACTCAAATGACCAAATGTTTTATTGTGTTTAGAGGATGCAAAGGAAGAACATTACGTGGCTGTATCAAGGGCACTGCTTTTTTAGTTTTCTTTCTAAACATCTTTTGCACTGAGACACAAAAAATGTGATATTGTACATTTTTTAAATATAAGTATAGTAATGATCCAGTCACAATGTGTACATGTATAGTATAGTTGTTTTCAGTGGAATGTCTGATTGTACTATGGATTGCATTGTATTGCCTTTGCAGCATAATTGATTGTCGATTTATAGAGGGGTTAGGAAAGTGTCCGTTGCCAAGACCAGGTTTTAATACGAAATTACAAAATAACCTCATATTTCCTGTTGTATTTACCTAGTGAGGATCAGAGGGAGACATTTTAAAGCAAAAGCAAATGACAAAGCAAATAAACGTTTTATTTTTTTGGTATCAAATCAGATTCTTTATTTGGCTAGGTTGTAAAAAGCAATGTTTTACTACTTGAAACTGACACACCAGACTGCTATCACACTCTGATATATTTAAGAGATGAGAAACCGCAAGCAGGGACCTCTGGGATTCAAAACCCATTTTTAAATAAATAATTTCCTCCTAACTTCATATCATGACATCAATCTCTGCATGTCATTTGTTATGAGGATGTGTGTCTAAACGTTCCCGGCATATGTGCTTTCATATCACACATCAGTCTTAAACAACATGAAGCTTAAGGACTGTTTTTTTTGTCTTGACACCAGACAGTGGTACAATATATTCTTCTGTCGTATCTGCCTTTGACTGGGGATGAATCATGTGTCATGCTACTTGTTAATGAATAATTATCATCGTTCTCCAAACTGAACATCTGTGCAGTTTGTTGAACAAAGTAACCCCTTTTAATTGAAAGGACATCCAGTGATTCTAACTTGGTATCAAATCAGATTCTTTATTTGGCTAGGTTGTAAAAAGCAATGTTTTACTACTTGAAACTGACACACCAGACTGCTATCACACTCTGATATATTTAAGAGATGAGAAACCGCAAGCAGGGACCTCTGGGATTCAAAACCCATTTTTAAATAAATAATTTCCTCCTAACTTCATATCATGACATCAATCTCTGCATGTCATTTGTTATGAGGATGTGTGTCTAAACGTTCCCGGCATATGTGCTTTCATATCACACATCAGTCTTAAACAACATGGAGCTTAAGGACTGTTTTTTTTGTCTTGACACCAGACAGTGGTACAATATATTCTTCTGTCGTATCTGCCTTTGACTTGTTAATGAATAATTATCATCGTTCTCCAAACTGAACATCTGTGCAGTTTGTTGAACAAAGTAACCCCTTTTAATTGAAAGGACATCCAGTGATTCTAACCGAAATGAAATCATTGCTATCATTGTCCTAATATGGGCAAAGTTGCTGTAAAGAAAAAAACATTTATGCCCGGTCATGAAGTTTATTTACTCCATAATAAACTGTACTTAATTTAGATGTACTTCGGTGTACTTAAAATTGTTTTTGCAATAATGATCTATAAACCCTATAGTGTGTTCATTGTATGTACTGTGTGCCCTCTCACATCCACAAACAAATCAAGGCCTCTCTAAACTTGATCTTGTGTGATTTAGTGGTTTGTGTTGATATTCAGCTTTTTGCCAATGGGCACTATGCTCATTTCTCCTCACATAACATATTCGCTAAGGCTCGGTCATGTGTCGGAGCAATCTTTCGCAATTTTTCTAGTCAAAATGGGAATGGATGAGAGATGTCACGCCGAGATGGGGACACAGTGAGATTGGCTGTGGTTTCTAGATGGCGAGTAGCTAAACTATTTACTGTAGGCCTCTGAGCTAATGAAAACCATTTATTTCACTAATTTAAAATCATTTTCGATTCACAAAATGTCCTTTAACTCTGCCATAATTTGCAGTGTAATTAGGACATGATATTAAAAATTATGATCTAATCCATGCGCTTTCAGTAAATATAAAAATCTGTATTGCAAAGGAAGTGGCTCAGCAGGAGTATGGACTGACAGCAGCATTGCAAATGGGAGGAGCAGCGTAACGTGTTTTAATTAAGATATGCATATGAATTTGTTTGCAGCCACTGAGGGTAGAATGACAGCACATGAATTAGTCCAATGAACGAGCGACACTTAAGCCTGACACCCACTCTGACACATGAAGTATAGTGGTTGAACAGCAATGGGCACTATGCTCATTTCTCCTCACATAACATATTCGCTAAGGCTCGGTCATGTGTCGGAGCAATCTTTCGCAATTTTTCTAGTCAAAATGGGAATGGATGAGAGATGTCACGCCGAGATGGGGACACAGTGAGATTGGCTGTGGTTTCTAGATTTGCGAGTAGCTAAACTATTTACTGTAGGCCTCTGAGCTAATGAAAACCATTTATTTCACTCATTTAAAATCATTTTCGATTCACAAAATGTCCTTTAACTCTGCCATAATTTGCAGTGTAATTAGGACATGATATTAAAAATTATGATCTAATCCATGCGCTTTCAGTAAATATAAAAATCTGTATTGCAAAGGAAGTGGCTCAGCAGGAGTATGGACTGACAGCAGCATTGCAAATGGGAGGAGCAGCGTAACGTGTTTTAATTAAGATATGCATATGAATTTGTTTGCAGCCACTGAGGGTAGAATGACAGCACATGAATTAGTCCAATGAACGAGCGACACTTAAGCCTGACACCCACTCTGACACATGAAGTATAGTGGTTGAACAGGAAACATGACTAACATTCCAGAAAAAAACTGTAAAGCATTTTAATGCAATCAGTTCAACACATACAGGAGGAATAAAGCCATTTCAGACATGTCACCAGTGAAATATATAAAGTGTAGTGCGTTTCTATTCATAATTTACATTTTATTAGACATGCATGTTATTCAAGTCTTGCATTTTTGGCATCAGTGCATATCATAGTATGTACATAAAGAAATCATTGAAACCTGCAGGTTTGCCTCATGTTTTGCGCCTTCCACACCTTGTGTGCTGTTATCTCAGTAGTAATGATAGAGAAAGTAGTGGTTTTAGCAGACATTAAAATCTGTCATCAAACAGAATTGCAAAAACGATGATTGTAATCTAACAGGTTTTTCTTACACTTCTGCTACTGGTTGAATAAGCTGATGGTTCAGCCCAAATCTAATCAACATTGGATGAGCCAATATTACTGTTGTTGGGCTGGTTGGGATGCACAAAACAAATAGTTTTAAAAGCAGCATAGTATTAAAAGGTTTTTGGTGGGATTTAACTTACAGTTGACACCCACATGAAAAAATACTGTAGTAATTTATAGTAAATACTATAGTGTTTTTGAACCATACTATAGTAAAGTGTATTATACTGTATATATTATAGTATTTACAACACTTTGTTAATGAATGCAACAGCATACTTTAGTATTAACTATAGTGAACTGATAAACTGTAATAAATAGTATACTTTAGTTGTAGTGTATTGTTGTATAATAAATCCTATAGTTGTAGAAAACTTACAGTATTGGGTAAAGTAATTTGTTTATATTACTATGGTTGTTATATTACCACAGCAACTATAGAATTACCACAACAAATTAATTCAAGTACTTTACTACTGTATAGTATGGTTCTAAAACACTATAGTATTTACTATAAATTACTATATTATTTTTCAATAAGCTGAGCTAGGAACAATTATTTTAAAACAGAAAATGAACACACAACAGCATTAAACAATAATGACAGATTCTGAAACAAAAATGGGGGAGTCTTGATGTATTATGCTCATAATTCCTGGCTCATAACCCGAACGACGAGCGGAACAGCAAAATAACTTAAATCAAAACTGACAGTGCAGCAAACCAGCACAAAGACAGACAGACCACCAGATATTTTTTTTTTTACAATCACAAAATCTGCTTCAGCAGCATTGAGCTATTTTGCACCGGCACAAAATATTTACCTATTGTACTCTAAAAAAAACAAACAAACAAAAAAACATCACAATTCGTAAATATTTTTATCCAAATTGGTGGTGAATCTGTATGAATTGTCATTCACACATTTTCATAGGTAGTGTTTACACTTCACTTACAGTTAGGTTTGGGGGTGGCCCTTTTCCCCCTAAAAATCATACATTTCCATATATGATTCACATCGTACAAATTCATACAAAACTGCCACTGCATAAAATAGTTGTTTTCTTATGAGATTTTACAAACAAAAGCTTTTTGTCCCACAAATCAAACTCTCATACAAATCATAAAAATCTCACATGAATTCATCTAAATAATCACATAATTCTGACATCAGCAAGTCCAAAAGCAAATAACCTTCACATACACATACTAGTCAAGAATCTTTTAAAAAGTGCAGAAAACTACACAAAAAAAAACATTTGTGGGTATTTGTTGGTAACTGACCTTTATAAAAACAACGTTATAAAGCAGCAGTCCTTCACTCATCAGGTTCATCAATTCGATTAACCTGTTAGGGTTTGTGCGCACTGCATAGGCCATGATTCACAAGATTATACAAAAAAAAATCTAAAAGACATTTCAGGAAGGCAGCACTAATTCACATATAGGTCATTCCCAGTATTGTGAAGTTGGACATAATGTAAGTCGTGGAGTATGAGTGCAATGCTCTTAAAGTGCACAAAGTATGTCTTACATGATGTCATTACTGTCCAGATCTTTTTTTGCATTAGTATCCATCAGCATGGACCTCAATAGCAGGAGCTCCGTAGGCTCTTACATGTTCTGCATTCAGTCGCAGCAGCATGGACAAAAAGCAATCTGAACACTCACCCACCTCCTCTACAGGCCCATCTGAAAAAAAACGGAAGACAACGGAGCTGTTTGTGAGACCAGAAACACAGTCAGACAGAGACCTGGAACCCCCCTGCTCTATATGGAGCAGAGGGCTGCTCACAGTCTCATGAGCAGACAGTCCAACGTCAGTCAGGTTTCTCAGCATAACCACTAGAGGAAAACTAAAATAAGGTTCCTGAGTGATGTCTGAGGTAAAGTCATTGAGAATCACTCCGCTACTTTGTAAGTATTGCCCGGATCCCCACGTGCTGTTGAGCGAGGTGGAGATTACTATGAAATTGCCATGACTATCGAGGATTCCTACATGACTGCTTGTGGTATTTAATGTGAACATCTCTCTCTTACTTGTGTTGAAGAATTAAGTCGCCAGATTTAGGAGGGCATTATAAGAGGCAAAGGCATTACCGAGATCTCCGTGGCTCGGGAAAGTGAGGTTTTGCTCTCGGACTCTAATATATTGGATACCATTCTACCTGTGAGCTGGTTGGGGGCTGAAAGAACGCTGTATTTCTCCTCTGCAACGATAAGGGGCTCATT